AGATCCGCCCAGCTGCGTGAGTGACTGCTGGCTCTGCCTATCTAGAGGCAGAGCCAGCTGTACCCGCCCCCTCCCCCGTCCGTTCCGCCAGTCAGCGCTGGCGGATCAGAGCGGGGAGGGGGGAATCCAGCCCCTCCCGCTGTCACGGCAGAGAGCCGTGACAGGATCGAGAGGTGAGCGAACGCCGGTATGTGTTCACTCACCTCCCGATCTACTGAGCCGACCTGTGACAGTCTCATTGTGCTTTTCACTCACCTCATAGTTCTCCTTTAACCCTTGCAGTGTGGGGGTAGTCCCATTAAGTGCGTATTTTGTTCTAGGTGCAAAAATAAAAAATTCTGAGCCGCCTTGCTCTTAGACCGTTCCTTCTAGCGTCTCTAGATTCTGTAAAATACATTTTTCATCCCTAAAGCAAGAGGAACAGCTTGACCTTTGAAGGAGCTTGAATTCACACATTTCCAGTTCTGTCTAGACAGCACCATTCCCAATGCAAAATGAAGGCACTTAGCCTTATGTCCTGTGGATTTAGTTCACACCAATGCTCTATGCTCCATCATTTTAAAAGAGAAAGTGATTTTTTTTGGTATGGATATCCCTACAGTTTGCTATAAGGCACAACTGAAAACATAATCCCTATAAACCAAGGATAAGCTGGCCTCAACAGATTTTTTTTGACTGGTGATCGGCATTCCACATAGAAATCTAGCAGCAAAATAGAAGATCCCACCATACAAGTAGGGATGTCCCGATACCACTGTTTTAAGACCAAGTATAAGTACTTTCCCTCAGGTATTCGACAATGCCAATTACTGATACTGTTTCTTAAAAGGGTCATGTGACATTTCTTCTAAAACAATACAGACTGATGATTTTAGGGAAGTTTCTCACCAGGGCTAAATCCAGATGTCACCAGAGCTGAATACATGTCACCAGAGCTGAACACATGTCACCAGAGCTAAATACATGTCACCAGAGCTGAATACATCTCGGCAGAGCTGAATACATGTCGGCAGAGCTAAGTACCTGTAACCAGAGCAGAATACTTGCCACCAGAGCTGAATACATGTCACCAGAGTTAAATACAGGTCACCAGAGCTAAATATATGTCACCAGAGCAGAATACAGGTCACCAGTGCTCAATGCATGTCACCAGAGCAGAATATATGTCACGAGAGCCAAATACATCTCACTAGGCTATGTGCCGATCTCACCCGGGTGGCATGTGGATCTCTGCAAGGCTCTGCGGGCAGTGGCTATGCTGATCGGGCAGGTGCCGGCCTGAAATGCTGTGTGGAGAGTTGAATGGGCACCAGCTCAGGGCCTGTACTTGCGGCGTGGGGCTGTCCGTGGCTGTGCCTGCACCGGGAAGGAGGAGCAGGAGATATAGAACTGGACAGGCACTGCCAAGGACAGCTACTGCCAGGTCCCCAACAGGCTGCCTAAAGTTTCCACAAGTGTGGGAGCTCAGACAGCCATTCCGGTATAAAAATGTAAAGGGCCGGTATCAGCCTAAAGAATTGGAGCATTTTCACGAGTAAAAATACTTGTGAAAATGCCTGGTATCGGCCCCGATACCGATACCAGTATCGGTATCGGAACATCCCTACATACAAGGATCGGCAGAATATCAAATTCCTCAGTCCCAACTCAGGAGGTCACCAAATAGCCCACATCAAACTGTAAGCTTTAAATCTCACTAATGAGTTACACTGTCTGTCCGAGAAAAAAAAAAAGAAGTCACCACCTGGATTTAGCTGAGTAGATAGGTCAGAGCCTTCCATTGGATCACAGGTCTAGGTTCAGCAACAGTATGTTGCCAAAAAAATGAGGTCAGCTGCTGGCCTGAATATACTGAATGACAAGGTTCTTCCATCAGTGGATTTTTTTCTTCCCTGATGGCACATTGGGCATATTCCAAGATGACTACGCCAGGATTTACCGGGCCCAAATTGTGAAAGAGTGGTTCAGGGAGCATGAGACATCATTGTCACACATGGATTGGCCACCAGAGTCCAGACCTGAACCCCATTGAGATTGGTCACCAGAGGGTCCAGACCTGAACCCCATTAGGAATCTTTGGGATGTGCTGGAGAAGACATTACGCAGAGGTCCCATCATCACTACAAGATCTTGGTGAAAAATACAACTCTGGACGGAAATAAATGTTGTGACATTGTATAAGCTTATGGAAATGATGCCACGGGGAGTGCGTGCCATAATCAAAGCTAAAGGCGGTCCAACGAGAGCTAAGCGAGGGGATGTGTATGGCCCCAACACATCTCCCCGCCCTGATATTAGCAACCTGGGATGCTCTGGCCAGAAAGAGGGCAGCAGGCACGTCGTAAAATTGTGCAGCAGAGCGGTCATGCCACGTGACACGTGACTAGACATGTGCGATTCTTTTCTTTCCAAATCAGAATTCTTCAGAATGTGTCCGAATCGGAATTTCCATTTCTGAATTTCGTTCAAAAACAAAACTGAATCGGACATG